AAACCCAATCATGAAAACTTTGTCACTGTGTATCTCACTATGATCCAATTTAAAAAATAAAATATAAGAAAGGATTTTTGCCAGATTAAAAAAATAATAGCATTCTTTTATTAGATTGGGGAGAAAAAAAACAGCAGAGATGGGAAAAAGAAGAGCAGAGAGCTATAAATAAAATCGGGAAGAGCCACAGAAATGGTCTCTGGGAGGAAGGCGTCAGGAGGCCCGGCACACATGTGGAGAGGGAGTTAGAGAGGAGTGCAGATGGCTTCCCCCTAGGAACAGAAGCGAAGACGGAGTATTTGGGCACAGATGCCTGGAGGTGGGTTGCTGTGGTCGTGGGAGCTTGCGGAAATTCTTTTTTCATGGCTTCTATTTCTCTGAGAGGAATAGGAAACAGCGTCATCAGCCGAGAGTAAGGATGGAGGAGGAGGTGTGGATGGTTTAGGAGACAAGCTAAAGAATACTTGTCCCAGAAACGGAGAGCACACGGAGTCGGGAAATGCCTCCAGCCTGCCAGGCAGCGCTCAGAGCCCACTGCGGTTTAGTCACTGGGCTCGGGGGTGGGTGTTTTCTGCACCACAGTCAGCAGCGAGCCTGTGGGTAGGACCACAGATGAGAGTTGGCTGCAGCCGGGGTTGTGTTTGAAAGGAGAGCAGAAGACAGATTAAGAACAGGACAAGGACTTAATACCTCTATTGCAAACTACAACACTCAAAAGGAGGGAGAGAGGGAGGGAGGGAGAGGGAGAGAGAGAGAGAGATAGAGATAGAGAGAGAGCAAAAGGCAGGGTGGCGTGGAGGGGATGGGGTGAGGGGGTAGGTGTGGTGGAAGGATGCTGGAACCATTGGTGGTAGAAAATGGGCACTGGTGGAGGGATGGGTACTCGATCACTGTATTACTGAAATGCAAGCACCAAACTTTGTAAGTCTATAGCTGTACCCCACGGTGATTCACTAATTAAAAAATTTTAAAAAAAGAATGAATGGGGCAAGGTGGCTCATGTATAAACAGTGGGAGACTTTGAATGATTGAATACTGAATTTGAGCCAAGTTCAAGTGGCACAGAGAGGAGGAGAGGGGGATGTAAAGGGAGTTGGATCCATGGATCACGGAGCACAAAGAAGGTGGACTTGGAACTGTGTGTGCTGGGTTGAACAATGAGATGCTGGAGAGAGACTGGGCAGGGCTGTCTGTGATTGGTGTTGACACGTTCCAGGCTCTCTCTGGAGGTGCAGAACAGGGATTAGTGACAGAGAGGACGTCAAGAGCTTGAGAAAACAGAACATTGGAAAGATTGTCTCTGGATTCTGGAAATATTAAGAATTAAAGGGCTCAGGTGCTGGAGAGATAGTACAGCAGGTAGGGTGCCTGCCTTGTGTGTGGCACATGTTCAATCCCTGTCATCCCATATGGTTCCCTGAGATCCTTAGGAGCAATTCCTGAGCCAGGAGTAACTCTTGAGCATCACTGGGTATAGCCCAAAAATAAACAAGAGAAAGAATCATGGGGTTTAGCATATGACTCAGCGGGAGAGCAGATGCCTTGCATATGTGAGGCTCTGGGTTTGAGCCCTTGGAGTTGGATGCTGAAGCAACATCAGGTCAATTTTTTCATATCCTTAGCTTATGATAGGCATGCAATAACCATGTTCTGTTGCTGTTTGTTTGCTTTGTTTTGGGGGTTACACCCATTGCTGCTCAGAGCTTGTTCCTGGCTCTGCTCAGGGGAACACACAGGGTGCCAGTTAGTATAAAACCCGGGTCAAGATTCAATACTGAGCAAGTGACTCAGCCCATACTATCTCTCTAGTCCTAGAGGTAAGCATTTATCTGATGATGAGAAAAAAAAGATTTTCTCATGTGTCTATTAATTTAATACCCAGGCACAAGACTAGTGAAAATTCCCACCTCGAAAAAAAAATCATTGTGGAGACTTTCCTTGGGCTAGATTTTCACCCCCCCCCCCCCCTTACCTCTGTCTGCTCACTTCCGGTTGCATCTTTAATGTATTCCCAGTGTCCCTTCCAATTCTGTTCCCTGTTCACTTTCTCTCTGGTTTCTTTGGAAGATGGATACACTTCAGCAGAAGGTGGCATTCTCTCTCTCTCTCTCTCTCTCTCTCTCTCTCTCTCTCTCTCTTTCATTCTCTCTCCTTTCTGTGTCTCCCCCTCCTAATCATTAGGGAGGTGGAGCATTGCATAGTCACTGAGCTACAGACTGAGTAGGTACATCACCCAACTGAAATGGACCTACCTAGCGCCAGCCATGAGTTAATATTTCTCTCTCCTTACAAAAATCCAGTGACAATCATCAGCGCAATTGTGAGATAGGGCATTTTCTCTAGGCTGGAGCATTTGAATCAGAGTGAACTATTTCATAAACAATGAACATATGCTGTTTCTCAAACACAATACACTGCTGAGTACTCAGAAAAAGTTCAAAGTCACAAAAGATTAAAAAGTTCTCAAGACCTACACCCATCAGCACCCTGAAGAGTGTGGATTTTCCAGACACTAAGTAGGACTTCAGGGCATATTTGCTGAATTAACTCAAAAGCGATATGCATTCTTCATGTGATTAAAATCCTAAGGTGACTTTTTATGAAGTACTCATGTCAGTTCCGACAGTTCTGATTACTACATGTTTTACATGAAGGAAAAATATTCCATGAAATTTGAGTTGCATGACTATTTTGGTTAAGTGGTATTATTGGTGTAACCAGGTTATAGCATTTTCCCCCATTTTGAATATAATGGGGGTCTCAATATGGATATGATATGGTTTTTCTCTTTTTTTCTCTTTTTTTGCTCTTTACTTTTTTGAGTTTAGTTGTTGCTTTTTCTTTTCTTTTTTTTTCCTGCCATGCCAGGGATTGAACCCAAGTCCACCTAGAAAAAGTAAGTGCTCCACCTCTGAACCATTTCCATAGGGAAATTAAAGGGCTGGATGGAGGGGTTGGGGCCACATGCAGTGATAGTTAAGAATTATTCCTGGCTCTGTGCTCAGGTATGACCATTGGCAGTGTTTGTGGGACCATATATGGAGCCAGAAATTTAAGCCAGCATCTGTGGGCTGCAAGAAAAGTGTCTCACCCTCTGTATTGTCTCTATGGCCTCTTTACTTCTAAAATACCTGCACCTGTTGCAGACACAAACAATTCCTGAAACCATATCACCAACGACCAGAACTCCAGATCTTTTATTGCTTCCTCATCCTCAGCAAACCAAAGTAGAGATGAATAAATTAGGATAGAGCGTGTTGTGTATGTGGGGGTGTGTGTGGATGAGAGAAGGTCAGAGATAATCAATTTGATAATAATGATTGTAATTGAGGAAGGGACAAAAATAAATGGAGGGGCAACCCTGAGTCATTGTCCAAGAGAGACAAATCTGGTATCCAACTCTGTGTACTGGGGTTGTGTGTTGAACTAAAGAGGCTGAGAGATAAACTGGCCTGATACTTCTACACCTCTCTCATTCCAAAATAGATTCCAGAGAAGCATAAAACAAAATCTGCTACTTTATTTGCTTCTTTATAATGGGGGGTGGGGTGGGGAGGGGGTGACATTGAGCCTACTCCTGGCTCTGAGCTCAAGGATAACTCCTAGAGGTGCTTAGGGAGACTGTGTGTAGAGCTGGGGATTAAACTGGGATTGGCCACATACAAGGCAAGCACCTTATTCCCTATATTTTCTCTCTGGTCTATGACTTTGTTTTATAATTTAGCTTAGAATAGGCAACAGTTAACCTCCTTGAAATCAATCAATAAGTTGTCATAAAATTATATTAGTTATGAATTATCCCTATGTGGTCAAGGCATCTGCTTGTCAGTTCAACTTTTCTATATATATAGTTGAACTCATGATGACACCCCATACAGGGCATACAAATATGCAATAATGCACTCATGTAATATTTCTGAAAACCACATTTCCAATAGGTTTGCATTATCACAACTCCCCCACCCCTCGAAAATATCCAAATATATATAGCATATACAACTGGTCAGGAAGAAAGCTGAAGAGATTAATAAATGAGTAAAATAGGATTGACCTAATCCCAACATCTCTTCATATCCTGTCCCTTCCTGATCCCCTTCCATAGTGCCAGGAGAGTAAAACTTGGCCTCTCATCAGACTGCTGGACTTGGAGGCAAGAACGGAGTTCAGTTCCAGAGACTCATCCCAGCTTTTAATTGTGTATGGTCTGTGGACTTAGAGTTTGAAAACTAAGTGGATCCATAGAAATCATAAAGAAAATGAAGGACTAGATAAGTACCAAAGAATCTCATGCACATGCAGCACATAAAAAAACAAAGCAATGTAACAGAGTCCAGTGAAAACAACCCCCTACACGCTGTGACCACAGAGCTGAGGTTCCCAAGGATGGGCAATGTCCAGTGGAGTAAAAGGGTGCAAGGAATCATGGTAGAGGGAGACTGGCATTTGGGGGGGTGGGTGTGATGTGAAACCATCATACCTAGAAGCACTGTAGCACTGTCCTCTCATTGTTCATCTATTTGCTTGAGCAGGCACCAGTAACATCTCCATTTTAAGACTTGTTAATGTTTTTGGCATATCAAATATGCCACGGAGAGTTTGCCAGGCTCTGCCATGCAGGCAGGATACTCTAAGTTGCTTGCTGGGCTCACCGAGAGGGACAGGGGAATCAAACCTGGGCTGGCCCTTGTGCAAGGCAAATGCCCTACCCACTGTATTATAAAAATTTTTGCAGACTATTATACCAATGCTTCCTCTACAACAAACATGTTTAAAACACTACAAAAACTTTCAAAGAGCTTTTGGAAAATATCAAATACCAAAAAAGGAAATAAATTCAAGAGAGGATGAGAACAAATTAGAGAAGTTCTAAGACACAGAAGACATCTCTGGGGCAGTAAGGATGGATAAACAAGAGGCGTATGTCATCCCAGGTAGGCAGAGCTTATAAGCAGACCCCATCAGAACTGTTATACTGGAAGGGTCACAGCCAGAATATTTACCTTGTGTTGCTCAAGTTTCCGTTGGATTGTGTTTGCTGTTTCCTCATGGGCCTGGTGAATGGCTATTTCCTCTCTTAAAGCCACTTCTGCTCTGTATAACCAGGCACCTATGGTACCCAGAGGAGCAGGAAGAGATTTATCAAGCTGTATGTGCCAATCAAAGAGCTGAAATTGAAAACAAAATAGAATATTTCAAATTCAGAAGGTAATTTCTAAAGACTCCCCAATGATTTTAAAGCCTATATAAAACTTGAAGTAAATGTTCTCAGAGTAAGTATCCAGTATCAGGTGAACAAATTAGAGAGTATCAGGTACTTACAAATTAGTAAGGATCAGGAAAACAAATATTTATGCTCTGAATGTGATGCTTTGGGAACAAGGAGAACACTATAATCTAAAGGAAATTAATTTTAAAGAAACCTAAAATAAATCTTAGAATCTCAAAGGATGCTTTTAGAAGCATAAATGATTTTCTTCTTATGGAAATAACAATGCATCCACAAAGTTTTAGTTTGTCTCTAGCTAAAAGGAAAAAGCCTAGAGTTGCTCCCTTGCTTCAAAATTCAATCCCCAATATACCAGCTAATGAAAATCCTTTCAGCCTTCCCACATGAAGACAAATCCAAAAAAATCAAGGTCTAAATATGTACGGAAAAAAAGGAGTATCTAGAATTATTTCAACAATAATATAATTCTCTAGGCAATACTGAGTTTTTCTCCTTCACCCAACTCTTTTATTTTTAATGAATCACTGTGAGATCCAGTTACAAACTTACAAACTTTTATGATTACCTTTCAGTCATACAATGATCGAGCACTCATCCCTCCACCGGTGCCCATTCTCCACCACCAACGTTCCCAGTATCCCTCCCACCATCCCATCCCATCCCTGCTGCCTCTGTGGCAGGCAAATTCTCTCTTGCTCTCTCTTTCCTTTGGGCTGTTATGGTTTGCAATATAGGTAGTAAGTGGCCATCATGTTTGATCCATAGTCTACATTCATGCCTCTCCCAACCTGAGTGAGTTTACTTAGTGGTAACTCCAACCATCATTTACTTAGTGGTCCCTTCTCTATCTCAGCTGCCTTTTCACCCAACCCTTAAGGACTGCTCCCTCAGTCACTGAAGGCTAGGTTTGATGCATGAGTATTTGGGAACTAATCTATTTCTTTGTTAGTTTGTTGGGGAAAAAATAGATTAGCAAAAGGAAGAAAACAGATCCAAGCCAAGTATTCCCATTTGTCACTAAAGTTTCTGAAGCTTTGAAACTTTGGTCTTTCAATTTGCAAATTACCAACATGACAATTTCAGAGTGTTCTTCCTTCCAGTTCAATGAAATATGAAGATATGCTTACATTGAAGAATACAAAATGAGAATGAAAAGGGGAGACTATTTAATTAATAAAAAATGTTTATGGAATATAAAGAAGTTGTTAAGGCTGTATTCCTACAAGAGGCAGTTCTTCTAATCCACCCAGAATAAAGTTACAGAAAGGAAGAAGTAACCCAGATGGTCTTCGAGATTGGAATCGAACATCTAGTCGATGACGGAGTGATGTGAAGTGGGGCCAGGGAGGCAACAAGAGTTTCAAAAACTTAAGGCAAAACTTGACAGGGGTAGAGAATGTCCCTTGATGAAATATTTCCTTTGTCCAACAGGCAGGAAGACCCATTGCAATTATTACTGGATAGAAAATGGTGACGGGAAACTTTCATGACTAAATGACACAAGTTCCCATGAAATGAACTGTAGGAGAACTTACCCTGGAGGACACTCTCTCCCAGGACTGTTTCACCAGAGCTTGGTCAAGTGACAATTTGCCATCTCTGTGTAAAGGCTGTATTAAATGTTCAACCTGTTTCCTTTTTATCTCGTATTGAACCCTGAAGTGTTTAAATGACTGGAGGAAGAAAAATAGCAACAGCATGGCAATGAGTCAAAATAAGCGAAAGCAGAGGAAATCGCCTTTCCGAAATAACAATCTTTTCTATTTGGATAACACTCAGTATATGTTGTTGATAAAATGCCAGTTTTAATACAAATAGCAGCTTACCAGTTATCAAGTCCTGAACAATGAAACTGGCCCCATGGGAAGTATTTCCTACATTTTGTCTTTTCTGGTTCTTTCTTTAACCCTGTACATAGACAGGCTCTATCATTCCATAGACAGTACCTGACTCAGTAATGGTAAGTAAAGGAGAGGATGGAAGTCCAGATTTTCTCACTTCTAGTGAAATAATGTACTTGTCAGTCCATGAGCATCAGTAAATCACAGTGTATGGAATTATTCATTTATGCTAATAACCAAATAAGTGGTTTACTTTCAGGTTCTAGTTTATAAATATAATTACATATATCAAAATCTAATGAATGAAAGTGAGAGAACAGTGAATTAATGCTCTCTAATTTTTTTTCTAAAGTCTTTATAAGGAGGCAGACTTAGGCAATTTCATTTGCATATATAGTAATTTGCTTAACTTTTATGGTAGTAACTTATTAATATCACGAAGGTCTTTTTGGTCACTATATGCATAGCATAAATTCCCAATAGGTAGGCTTAATAATAAGTCTAATATTAGCTCCCCCAAAGTCATAAATTTAAAGTTTTTTCTTTTGCATCAAATTACACCTCTAAAATATGATTTTAAGTCCAAATAAATATGAATTGAATGAATTGAAAGTACTGAAATGTGAAATTAAAATAATTTTAAAAAAATAAAATGGCCCCATGAAATCTATCAGATAACACTGCTGAAGGAATTTCTAAGTGATTATTAATTCTAATAATCAAGCATGTAAATTCCCATGAAGAACACTGGGGGGAGATGGTGAATAAATATTTTTCTTTTCTTTCTTAAGTCACTGGAATTGAACAACTCCAATGAAAACTAAATTATTATTCCATGCTATTCCACAGAATTTCATGCATGAAAAAACTAGAAAATAAACTACTGATTGACAAGTACAATCAGAAAATTCAGGTTACCTAATGAACACACTTGAAAGAAAATATCCCCTCTGAATTTCTGATGCTCTGTAACTCTATTTAAAAGGACAGATGACCATACTTGGTTCTTTTTTAGCTCAAAATTTTTTAATCTTTTTTTTACCTTTTATAAGATAACATGTTACAACAGGCATCTCCATGACTTCGAATTAATTTCTGATAATTTATGTTAAGACTAAAACATATCCATAGACTAAGCAAGTATATTTACTGTGCTTGCCTTTCCATTCTCAAATTTCTGAACTGATCATTTTTAAATGAACTAAATCCTACAGCTTGGAAGAAATGTTTTTTTAGTCTCAATTCAAAAACTAAGTATTTATTTATTACTTTACCAAGTTCAACAAATATATGATACACTTAATAGAATGACTCACTTAAATTTAGACACACTTTATAGATGTGAGCACATAAATATCACACATTAAAATTATTATAGCTGATATTTGTACTGTCTGCCAGGATGAGACACTTATATCATTGCACATCTTTATACCAGGAAGTGATTCAAATGTCATCTAGATTAGAATATATTATAGTTTTGCCACAAAAATACATTGCCATTTTAAATAGGAGGAAAATGCTGTTAATGTGGCATGGAGTAAATATCATTGGAAAAACCTGTCATAAGTCTCGATGTTTCAGAAGTAGAAACTGGAAGTAGAAATCCAATTAATGACAATATAATGATAACGGGAAGAAAATTCTAACAGCGGGCACCCTTGGTCTCCTTTTAAATGCACATGTTGAACAAGGCGAGTCATAGGTGAAATTAATCCCATTAATGGAACCACTCCAAATACCCATGTTGCAATCCTTTATTAAAATCAGCTTACTCAATGATTTCGCAAGCAACTCACTTTTTGGTGTATGTTTGTGTTATGAGATGTTTATACAATCATGAATTCTACAAAAATGACTGGGGTTTTGGGCTCTGGGACATTTACAATACTGAATTCTGGAAAACTCACGAAGCTTCTTAATCCCATCCATGTACTGTGTAGACAAATACAATCTAAGCCTACTTACATAGAAATACAATTATTTAAAGACTACAGATAACATACTTTTTGTTTTGTTTTTGTTCTTGGGCTACAATTGGTGTGTTCAGGGCTTGCTTCCAGTTTCTGCTGAGATACCATTCTTGGTGGTGCTCAGGAGACCATATGCAGTAGCAGGGACTGGCAAATGCCTAAACTCCTAAGCCATCAGTCTGGTCCAATAGTATTTCTTTTTGTGAGGATGAAGTGAACAACTGGCTGTGATCAGGGCTTACTCCTGGCTCTGTGTTCCAGGATCACTCCTAGGAGTGTTCAGGGGACCATATGTGGTGCCAAGTATTGAACTTTGATTGGATGCATACAAAGCAAGCAATTTACCCAGTATACTGTCTTTCGGCCCTTAATAATAATTTCTTTTAAAAAACGTATTTCTTGAAAAACTCACAATGCTTGAAAAACTAAACAATGCCTGAACATAGATTAAAGCACATATAAGAATGTTACTCGTAACATTCTTTAGAATGTTAAACTATCTTTTTTATACATCACCTGGTATTTATCCTGTAAATTTGATTCTGCCACCTGTGCCCTTGTCAAATCCCTTTCAAATTGGTCGATCCAGACTTTTGTTTCCTTCAAAACTAGCCTTTCTTCTCTCTGAAAGCCAGCAGATAATACAATTTTAGAAGTAATTGTGCATTTATCTTACAAACAATAATGAATACCTTGATTCTCTCTGAAAAATCTTCTCTCTCCCCCTTCATATTTGAAATGTCAGAAGCAAAATTAAATTCTAGAAAAATATCTTAATGATCCTGCCAAATGTTGAAATTACCTAATTGCATTAATTTTTTCTCTAGTAACACTAATTTAATTAAGAAAATATGCTCAGGGCAATGTTATAAGTCAACAAAATACTTGCCATTCTCTAATTATGAATATAAATTATTTACTTCCAGATTCATTTTAAAATACTAAAATATAAATAGGTTTTCTTGTTTTGTTTTGTTTGTTCTTTTGGGCTACCCAAGCAGTTCTTGGGAATTACTCCTGGCTCTGAGCTCGAGGATCACTTGTGGTGAGGGTTCAGGTGAACATATGAGATCAAACCCAGGTCAACTGTGTGCAAGGAAAATGCCGTACCTGCTATAACTCCATCCCCTACAGTAAACAAATAAATCTTGACTTTTATTTTCATGTCACACATAAGCAGTCAGACATAATTATAAATTATTCCTTTTATTAGTGCTATTAAGTGCTACTTAAAGTTGATCATTGATGTCAATTTGTAAATAGATTAGTGGCACATCTGTGAGAATGTCTTAATAGAATTTACACATGTTATTTGTTTATTAGGGGGAAAAAGAGAAAAAACAGAATTAAGGTATTATACAAGAGAAAGGCATGCAAAAGAAAGAAGGCAGAATGTTTGGAATAGGTTGCTGGGTCAAGGCAGCTTAAATCTTACCTTTAAATAAGGGGTACTATTTGCAAAGGTTGGAAAAGTTGAAAATATTTCCTAACAATACGAAAAGATAACATATAGAAAGGTAATATATCCAAGGAACAAAAATCATAGAAGAAACACGAAAATAAATAAAGGAGAGACATTGACTTATCAATGGGCAATAATGTCACTGGCATCATTATGTAAGAATATTTTGTAACTTTTAAAGTTATCTAAGTATTCTAATTGAACAAAGAAATGTAGTTTTCTGAATTTTGATATTGACATTTTATTTTATAAAAGCCATATGCAGTACCATATATCTTTTATAAACAAGCATGTCTGGAACATTTTTAAAGTAGAATAATGTAAAGAAGAGGAATATTAGACATAAATTCTCCACAAACACATTTAGGGGGCTATTTCAGTGCCCCTATTATGCCTAAGACTGTTTTGTAGTTTGCAAGGCAACCAGTAATACTTGTTACAACAGAAGAATTGATCAAATAAATAACTGAAAATTTAATGAGTAAGTGAGATAAGCCAATGGGCTTATTTGATTTATTTTTTGAGAGAGTGATAATTATGCAATGAAAACCATTAGGGAAACAGTATATTTATCATTTGTTCTGATTGAAATAAAAAAGACCTATCGATGTTTATTTCAAGTAAGAAACTAATATTTAAAATGGTAGGTATAAAATACTTCCTTTACATAAAAACATAACTGGACTATAGAAATCAAATAGATCCCTACAAAAATAGAAGCCTGATACATACATACACACCAAAATTCAAATACAAAGGATTTTTCACTCAAATTTTATATATATATGTATATATATATATATATATATATATATATATATATATATAATCTTGCTCTCCATGTTCTGCAGGGTTGGAAGCCGATGTAAATGTCCTGTATAAACTAGATTTAGTCAAAAATTATGGTGTTTTTCATTAATGTTTGGGGGTCCCACATTGGAACTCCCAAACATTAATGGAGAGAAAATGCCAATCTTTGCTTGTCCTACCCTTGATTCAAAGGAAGACATGATTATTCTCACTATCCTGAATTGGAAATAATTCTGCCTTCAATTCCAGAGGAAGACATACATCTGTATTTTAAGATGCCAAGAATTTTATAAGTGAATTAAAAGAGCCATTTTTCCAAAGGCCTAAGTAGAAAAAAACTGAAATATCAATAACTCTAATATGTAGCACTGTAGCACTGTCCTCCCATTGTTCATCGATTTGCTCGAGCGGGCCCAGTAATGTCTCCATTGCGAGACTTGTTGCTACTGTGTTTGGCATATCAAATACGTCATGGGTAGCTTGCCAGGCTTTGCCAAGCAGGCGAGATACTCTTGGTAACTTGCCGGGCTCTCTGAGAGGGGCGGAGGAATCGAACCACAGGACACCTAGGTCGGCCATGCACAAGATAAATACCTTACCCACTATGCTTTAAAAACGAACTCACTGACATGCACTGGCCTATCGATACTTGCAGAAACACAAGACAGACACTTACATCATTATCCAATTCATCAGCGCCTGTGTTGTAAATGTCAGGATAGTGTTTCAGAAACTGGGCCACGTAGGTCATGATGGACTTCTCATCTGGTTTATCCACATCAACATCTGGAAATGAAGGAATTATCCACAATTATATTTAAAGTTTGAAATCGACTTAACATCTCCAAATACAATGTCCTGTATTCAGAAGACAAAAGACACGGAATGAATATTTTAGAGAGGGGAATCGGAACTGATTTAGTCTGGGTGATGCATGGTAAAAATTTTAAAATTTGAAAAGGTGGTCATTGAAGTGTATTTCTAGCATAAATTTGTGTTTCTAGGACAAATGTGTGTTTCTACGATGTTTCTATGACAAACAGGAAAGGGGTAAATATTTAAATGAAATATTTAAATGATCTTGACACTCAGTCATCAGAGATATGAGCTGCTCTATAATCTTTAAACACTCTCTCCAGTTACTCAAATGCAAATAATAGGTAAAATTTTTAATTGATTTGAATGTCTAAAAAATGCTTACAGGGACAGAGGGATGGCTTAGTGGTGGAGTACTGGTGTGGAGGTTGTGAGTTCAACCCCTATCTAACATCATCTCTCAGGCTGAGTGAAAATGATCTCAACAGCACTGCATTTTGTGGTACCTGGCAAGCACTGCAACTATAAGTGATGCCCAGTTATTGCAGCAGCAACAATAAAATGAAGGGAGAAGCTCATGATGTGTGTCACTGAATAGAGGTGTTCACAGATTATACATTGTGTAGCACACACTGCCAAATATAAAATAGCCCTGCCTTGCTTCCTCAAGCTGAGTGTTAGGAAAGGGAGAGTCTCCTGATGTTTAGTTCCTTAGAGAGCATCTTCACAACAGCAGAGTGGACCCTACAGTCGAATCTAAGTGACTGTTCTTTGAACAACCAAGTCCTGTTTCAGGGAGACAGAGACAGAACACACATCAATGACTGTTGTTTTTAACATCATATACGTCTTCTATCTTAGACAATCAGTACAAACCAGGCAGAGATACTGATAGGCATGTAAAAATTATAGCATGGGCCGAGACTGAATACGCCGAATATCAAAGGTTTTAAACAAGTTTTTGAAAATATCCCTTCTAAAGGAAATTGGAACGGGTGAGTACACTTGGAGATTATAGATACACATTATCTACCCACAGAGCCAAGAATATAATAAAGCAAATAAAAAGATGAAAATCAAAATGTAGAACTGATGCAATGTTTGCAATGTTCTGTGTGATTTCCAAAGATTATCCACGTAGCGCCAGAGAGATAGTACAGTAGGTAGGGCATTTGCCTTGCGTGTGGGCAACTCAGGTCCAATCCTCTGCATTCTATATAGTCCTGTGAGCACTGCAAGGGGTAATTCTTGAGTGCAGAGCCAGGAGTGACCCCTGAGTATTGAAGGGTCTGATCCAAAAAGCCAAAATATAATACATTTTTAAAAACAAATAAAGATTATTCGTGTAGCTTACATAAAGTGCTACAAGTCAAATAAGTCAAAAAGAAGCACATATAAGGTATTTGGGGAGTCTTAGATGATTCAAAGGAGATGCTGCTAAGAATAAGATCCCTGTTACAAAAAAATACACATGAAGAATGTGTAAAATGGTTTTGTGGAGTATGGAAGTGGTATCTAAAAAATTTTAATGTATTAAAGTGTTTGAAAGCAGCATTTTATGTATCAATACAGTACATGCTTTTAGGTTTGCATGTAACCACATTATAAACTAACTTTATAGCAGACATTGGTCTATTTAATCTCTGTTCCTAAGAGTTTGTGTATTTGAGTTGGGTTAATAACTTTTTGAGGAGGAACTTCATTGGACTTTTAAAGGAGAGTCACTGACCTGGGATACCCTTACATTTGGTCAACCTCAGTTCTGGTAATCAAAAAAAAAGGAGCAAGATTCTCTAGCTCAGTGGGTATGAAGGAAGTCCTTTAACTCTTGTTTTTGATCCAACACACAGACACACACACACACACAAAGTAAGCTCTTATACATCCTCTCAAGTTGAGGGCTGGAAAGGAAGTCTGGTTTTTCCCTGGATATAAATAAGTATAATGGGTATGGCTGGCTTTTGTCTATGCAGAAAGTAAAAGGCCCTTGGCTGTCCTAGTGAATCTCAGTCTGGTGAGTATGAGAAAATGATTCCTGAAGTACTAAAGGAGCTTCATTTTGACACTCATTTCAGAGAAGACAAACTAGAGACCTGTTAGTCTTTGAAACATACTGAGTTTCTGGAAACTCACACCTCAACTTGAGCAGTTTTTTAGGTCTTGAAATGTTCATTCTGAAATATCATCCTTATAACTAACTTGTGTTCATTACACTTACATTTCTGCATTCATTAATAGAATTTTTCAAACTAATCACCCCAAAACATTATCTTATAAGGAAGATTCATTTTGACTTTTTTTATTCTAGTGTAAAAACCAACTTAGCTTAGGAAAGGAATCAACATTACTGTCTGAAGTCTTGAAGGAATAAATTCCTAGTCCAGAAAGTCTTAAAATTAAATCTGTCCCTCCCCAAAGGTAAAAAATAATTAAAATGAAAACAATCCGTGAATCATTCTTTGACTGTACCCAGTGGATTCCAAGGTAATGAACACAAATAGACATTTCTGCCTAGGGAGGGAGGGTACACTGGTGATTGGTGCATTGTTGGAATTTTGTGCATGAGAAGAACCATAATTCACAGTAATTTACACGCCGTTGAGGCTTTCATCTTATTTTCAGTATAGTGAATAAGTGCAGGTCACCTGCCTGATGCCAGCAATGTCAAATCAATGTTTATAGCAACAGAACTGGATTTTGCTCCTGAGTATAGCAGTGAATCTTTTTCCAAGAGAAGATCAGTTCAGGAAGATGTTATTTCTAATCACTTCTCACATTTTCTGTTTTCTAATGGAATTTCAGGATGCACTTCTGAGTTTAAGACATAGGAACTTATGGAGGCAGAGAAAAATCAAGAACCAACAAACAGTCCCTCAACAGACCTTCTGGATCTAGTAAGCGTGGGATCCCCAGTTCCAGTTCAGCAATGGTGAAAGCTTCTTCCAGGTTTTCTCGATTGGATCTTCCCTTTATCTTTTCCAAATCCACGAGCTCTGGCCGGATAGCATGAATGACTGAATGAAAGGCAATTCCATTTCGCCAACTCCGCCCAAAGTCCTTCACTTCTATTCCAGTCTGCCTATGCAATTAAGACAAAATAGAATGTCATTTTCTGAAAATCTAATATATTTTCCTCAAGACTGTATGCAAATTTCAATCCTCTTTAGCAGTGAGTAAGGTACAGTTAGCTATAGCAGTTAAATGTTTTTGAGAAAATTCAGGAAAACAGAATTTTAAAGGGTCAGGACATAACATTTTTAGTACCATACTTTTCTCCATTAGTGTTTTCAGTAATCAAGATTCACAATCTAAAATACATTTTTTTAAGAAAACCAAATTAGGGCCAGAGCAATAATAGAGTTTGTAAGGCACTTGTCTTTCATACGGCTAACCCCGATTAGATTCCGGGCACTCCAACGGTCTACAGGAGTGATCTCTGAGTGGAGAATCAGGAGTAAACCCTGAGTACCACTCAGTGGCACCAATCAAACAAGCAAACAAAAACCAATTTAAAGGGAAATTGATAATAAAAATAGAAAAAGGAAATTGTTTTAAAAAATCAAAAGTGATGAATATTCAATAAACTTCTTGAAGAACTATCAAACGCATTTCTAATGAAAATGATCAGCAGAATTGTGTCTCACACACAGGTTAAAGCACACTCAAAAACACTTTAAAGGCAGATTTTATTCTTTCATCATTTCACATGAGAGATTTTGATATTTATGGAAAAAAGTATTCTGTGAATTCCAGATGTTACTGTAACTGTTGCTTAACAGTGAATTAAGGGCTCTGGTCAGCAAAATGACCAAAATGGGCTGTTAAAATATAACATTTTATTGGAAATAAGCAACAGTGTAAACAGCCATCTAAAATTGTTCAATCAAAATGTGTTGTGTGTATGTATTTTATTTCTGTAAAAACAGGAAATATACTGACAAAAATGATAAGAAAAATTCAGCTGTGTCATTGGAAAAAATGAGGAAATTCCGTTTTCAGGCATTTCTGACCTCTAAGATATTTATCTTATATGACTTTTGACCCTGGAGAAACCTGCCCTTTTCTAGCTATTTCACTCATTTTTCTCTTGATACATTTTACCTTAGAAATCTCCAAATATGGTATGTAACTATAATATGCTGACTTGATTTTTGAACAATTTTCATTTATGAGATGTTAAATGAAAGGAGGATAAATTGATTAAAAATTGAGGTGCTGGTTCCACAAAAGTGGCTCAGAGGCGGAACACTTGACTTGCTGGAATGAGTCCTGCGGTTACCCCATCATGCTGCCCACATCACCTGGTACTGCCCAGTGTGGTCTCTGACACTGTAACAAGCATGATTCCTGATACTACAATTACACAATGCAAAAGGAAAGGGGGAAAAACACAGAAAGACTAGCTCTTTGATGTTCTCTGAAATAGTTTTTATTTAAATATATATTTTTTCTTTTTGGGTCACACCTAAGTAATGCTCAGAGCTTACACCTGGCTCTATGTTCAGGAATTACTTCTGGTGGTGCTTAGGGGATCATATGGGATGCTGGGGATTGAATCTGGGTCAACTGCATGCAAGGCAAATGCACTCCTCACTGTACTATTGCTCCTGCCCCTAAATACATATTTTTAAATTGCATATGAAAACAGCAAGCACTTTGACTACTTGGTATTTACTGGATGTTTTATCCTTTATCCCTTCTAAGTCTTTTTAGCTCAGTAAACCTTCAAGCTATGTGGTCTGTAAATTTTAAGGCATGCGTAAATCTCTGAAGTCTTATTCAAATAAGACATTGCTTGAAATATACATACTGGGATAGTGTTTTTTTTTTTAAGTTAACTTTTTAAAAACTTCTCAACAACTTGGTAGCATTTGGAATATAATTAGAATAGAATTTGGAATAGAATAGAATTTGGAATTCTATTTGCCTTACATAATTTCATGGCAGAGAACAATCATTTCCCTACATGTCTAATTAATGGAATTATAAGATAAATGAAAGCCACCAGATGTGTTGAGAGGTGGAGAATCGCCGCAGAGTCCATTAATCTGGGCATCTATATAGATAAAGAAAAACAATTTTGACTCAAAGTACAGACAATGTAAATAACTTTAAGCTCTTGTTAGGCCCCTGTACATCTTTGAAATCAAACTATCTGTACATGAAATAAAACTAATGCAGAAAGCTCCAATGTTTTTAAGCACAGGATTAATTGATAGCAATAAATTTGTTTTTCTTTTGGGGGGTGAATTTAATGGAGTGAAGAAGAGAACAGGGTGGCATAATATTACATTAACATTATCACAAAGTTCTGCTGTAATTGCATCATATCATGTGTGGTTCCCAATCTCTTCCTACAGGCATATTTCTTTCTCCCAGCCCACTTAAACTTCAAAAAACATGAATAATTCAGTGCCAGTGTGGATGTAAATGCAAACATCTTACAAACAGATAATGTTGGAAGGACTTTTTGCTCTCTTATTTCTGCTACACATTCTAAAATGCCCAATGTTTTATCTTCTTATCTTTGGCAATATGCTTGAGTATAACCTGAAACACAAAACTACATACCAAACCAGAAAGCCACCAACACATTTTAATGGTTAAAATTAGTAACACTAATTGCATCTTTTCTCTCTAGTATTCTACCCTTTATTTTTTACTCCTCTAACACTTTTAAAATAGAACAGCCTATGTTTAGTGCCTTAATATTTTGTAATGATAATTACTTATTTACAACTATTTGGCAGAAGTGGAGTTTGACTCAAATTAGATCTAAGCATATCAAAATATAGAAAGTAAATTGATTTCACATATTATTTAGGATAATCATACCAAGATAAAACTTTACATAAAGACATGGGTCAAAACATATTGGTATGATTAATAGAAAAAACTCTAAACCCCTTTTGCAGAAACCACCATTATCACCTAAATTTCTCACATCTAATTGTACTATACTTACAATCAAAACTAAAAGCATATTATCAGCCCATAAAATTGGAAGTGGCAAAGCAATCTACACTGTTGATAAAGGGTGAGACCAAAGTGAAAGAAGCAATAACTAAATAGCTAGAAAGTTACAGGAAATAATAACAAATGCAATTAATTCAGAAAATAAGTCTAAAGTTTGCATTAGAGAATCAGACTCCCTACCTTTATAAAGAAAGAGAGCAATATTTACTATTTACTATTGAGAAAATTGTTACAAAAAGTTCAATAAATGATATTAATAATTAGCACTGTAGCACTGTCCTCCAGTTCTTCATCAATTTGCTCGAGCAGGCCCAGTAACGTCTCCATTGTGAGACTTTGTTGTTGCTGTGTTTGGCATATCAAATATGTCACGGGTAGCTTGCCAGGCTCTGCGTGCAGGTGAGATACTCTTGGTAGCTTGCCGGGCTCTCCGAGAGGGGCCAAGGAATCGAACTCGAGTCGGCCACGTGGCTGCATGTAAGGCAAATGCCCTACAGCTGTGCTATTTCTCCAGCTCGATATTAATAATATTAAAGTTTAAGGTAAAAGGTAAAGGTCCTCCCGTTGATCGTCGATTTGCCCGAGCAGGCCCAGTAACGTCTCCATTGGAGACTTTGTTGTTACTGTGTCTGGCATATCGAATACTCTCGGTAGCTTGCCAGGCTCTCCGAGAGGGGCGGAGGAATCGAACTCGGGTCGGCCATGTTGGCCACGTGTAAGGCGAACGCTCTACCCGCTGTGCTATCGCTCCAGCCTATTAAAGTTTATTTTACTAATAAAAGTGCAGGGGTTAAACAACTTTATCCATCACGTTTAATCAAAAACAGAAGTAACTTGTTTCAGTATAGCATTTTGCCAGAGTAATAATGATGATTGATGCTAATATTTTCTATTTCAGTTTTGGTTTGGACTACAGTTTGGTTTGGGGATGCTCTCAGCCCTGTGCTCAGGGGTTACTCCCAACAGTGCTTGGGAGAACATACAGTGCCAGGGACTGAACCCAGGATTCACTATGCAAAGCCTACACTCAACCCGCTGAATGACCCCCAAGGTTTCTATTTTCATTCAAGAAAAGCACTCAGTTGTACAGCAAAGCCTTCCATTCAAATACCTGCGATGTTTGTAGACATCAAAAGATACACTCAAAAAGAAGTTGAAAATTCAAATTAGTCGGGTGTTTCAGAAACGAATATTGATACTTACTTGGCTGCTGAGAACTGAACCCACTTCAATAAAGCCTTCTTAGCATTTCCCTGGATCTTGGTGGCCACTTTCCTTTTACTGGGGGGACTGGCTGTCTCGGAGCTGAGAGTGCTGTCCACGGAGGAAGCACTACTGGACAAAGACTGTAGCGCTGGCAGGTTACTGGTCAACTCCTCTATCTGGGAATTAACAAGGGTGGAAATACAAGAATCATCTTTGTTTCTCCTTCATCCTTTCCATCTAAAGATGGTATATTGTTGACAAAATATAAGTACCTAAGGGGCAGGATGGCTGTCCCATGTTCTTCCCACTGCATCTAAAACTCTACCTAAACTCAGTAACAAGAACAGGTGAAAATATGAATGAAAGAGTTAATATAAGAATGTTTCTTTCAAACTCACAGGCTATTACTATACATTAAGAACTTGGAATGATAATGATACATCAATATAAATTTATTAATCATAATAAACAGACACATTTATGGGGAACACTGGGGAGTCAATGTATGTGTGGATACGGAGCTATAGAAAAATCTCTGTACCACTGCTCATTTTTGCTGTGAATCTAAAACTGTTCTAAAAGAAAACTTTAAAAAATAATCTAATGAGTATAAAAGTTATTCTGGATAGAATAACAAAGTATTTTCCCTTCTTCATGGGGGTCATAGGACTGGACCTGGAAAGCGAAGTAAACTTAATTTTCTATACTAATATCTCAACTCCTTCTTTTCTTACCTACTTCTTAGATTTGGTACCCCTGTTTGAGTTCTTTGGGAAAACTCTATGCAGAACACCTTTGAAAGGAACAAGAGGAATTCTCCAACAGAAAACCATGGATCTGTGAAGGTTACCTTTTAGCTAAGATGAGGGTAAAACTCAAAGATGTGACAAATAAGGATATTATGAAAATTCCCACCACCACTTCCTTTCATGATATCCTATTCACCGAAAAGGGAACTGGAGATCAATACCTGGAAATAGAGGATAATGGTCCACACCAATCCCAGGACAATTGCAGGCCGGCCATCAGCTATATCTGTGGCGTTAATGTTGACTAACTTTATCTGTTTAAAAAGAAGAACTGAACTAGTAACGTACTAGAAGATTATAATCACCCAATTACACAGTAATTAGCATTTGATTAGACACCATCAAACTCTAGACATGCCTAGTTAAGTGGTACACAGGTGTAAGTGAGAAAAACAAGCACATGATTTGGATGGGGTGTTCTCGAACATTCATTAGGTACACAATAAAAATAACTACAAAGTGCACTTATGAAACTTGTTTTAAAATTTAAAATAAAAAAATGATATCATGCAAGGAATTGCCAACAAAAGCTGGACAGGAGAAGGGAAAGATTTATCTTTTCTTTAACATTCTTTACAGTCATAAGGTGATGGGGACTTGAAGGAGATGAGAAGTTTAAGGAAACTCACTTACTTTGAGGTTTGTTACCAAAAAGCATGAAACTTATGTTTTCTTTTACCTATAAAAATCAGGAGTTCAAAAATTCTATAAAGTTTGTACTAACCGGTGATCCTCTGTAAATGGACTGACATGAAAAACAAAGGGAGAAGATAATTCACATACACAAATGGTCTTTCACAATTTAGGCAGTATGTTTAGAGCACGATCTCAACATTACATTTTAAAGACACAGGAAAGTTTAAGAAATAGCAAAGTAGAGACTGGAAGTGTTCTGTTCCAATTTCCCAGTTTGAATCCTAACTATAAACAGTCAAGACAGAAGTTAATCTCTCTATATTTGTGCCCAATTATTTACTCCAATGGCTTCCCAAATATCAAAGTCAAAGTCGTTATTTCTAAAGTTAAGTGTAATAAATGTGAACGATGACCCTTTAGTCTCCATAGAATCAAATTAAAACAATTTCTGATCATCTTTCTTACAATCTTTAAAGTAGAGTTGCTTTTATTTTCCTGGTTTCTGGGTCACACTGAGTGGTGCCCAGGGGTAACCCCAGGCTATATGCACAGGAATCATTCCTGGCGATACCTAGGCACCATATGGGATGCCTAGGACCGAATCCAGGTTTGCTGTATCCTAGGCAAACTCCCCACCTATAATGGCTATAATGGCTATAATCCTTAAATTATAAAGATGTACTTCCCTTCGACTTCTGACTCAACAATGTTTCATCATGATTGAACGAAGTGCATAATTAATAATAAAGTTTCTAAGTTTGTGGATGATTCACTATACAAAAAGTTATCAAGTGAAAAATCATCTCCTAAATATTTTAACTCTTGAGAATTCATTTGAATTAGGAGTTATTTCTCCAACAAGTGGGGCTGAGTGGGCACAAAACTCATTGGGAGTAGTTTAAAGTTGATCCGTGGACTTTGTTTTAATTCACCAGTGAGATAATTTCATGTTCAGAGACAAAAAATTAATATTTCCATAGTTTAGAATCTTGTGTGTTTACTTCTAAACTGGACACAGAGTAAGACAGAAAATATATTTTTGGAAAACAGAGAGCACATTGATTTTTTTTAACACTTTACAAAGAATCTATTGCAAATCCATTAAGTATTTCAATTGCTCTGTTTAAAATCTCCACACCCATTCAGTACCCAAGGACCTCAAATGATCATACATGCCAATAGCCCCAAGACTGTTGCATTCCATAGAGATCACATTATTTCTTTCATCGCATATCGTTCTTCTAAAAAATGTGGTTAAATATGTTAAATTTTCTTTTTATTCTTTTTTTTAAAAATTTCTAGGTAGATTAGATTTTTTTGGAGGAGGATGTACTGGGGGTTATACATAGCTATGCTCAGAGTTTACTCTGGCTCTACAGTCAGGGTTCATCCCTAGAGGTGCTCTGAGGACCATATGCTGTACCAGGGACCAAAGACAGATCAGTTGCATGCATGGCAAGCTCCTTTCTCGTTATACTCTCTGGCCCAGAAGATGTTGAATTTTCTATGACAGCTGACCTCTACCTACACTATGAAGTTAAGATTCACATTAGTAAAGAGTCTAAAGGTACTATATTCTGTTTATCAAAAAAAAGTTTCCATGATTATTTTTTTCTCCTAAAAATTGTGTGTTCCACATAGATTTACACATAAGTGCTCTCTTTTTCTTTGGTTTTCTTCATGGACTATTGTTCTCTTTGAAAATCCTGCTAAATTTCAGTCACTGATTAATAGTCTACTGGGCAACATGGGCACTCAGAAAAATGTGCGAAGAGATTGAAGAATTTCCAAAAGCAAGGGAGAGGCTGGCATCATACTGATGAATCTTCCCTCAGCCCTGCTATGGAGGTACAGTTCTAGGAACTGCTGGAACAGAATCTCCAACCTTGTTGATAACACACTCACTCATGTTTGAGAGCTCTATTTCTAGACAATTGTTCTCAGTCGAGGTGAGCTGGGTTTTGGCTTTTCAATCAAGTCAGAGGTTCTGCAGGCACAGAACTGTGACCACACCACTTTCCAAAATTCAGTATTAACCTCCAAAGTTACTAAATTGAGAGACCATTTTAAATAAGGTAATCAACGAAGTCATGTAGGAGACACCAGACCAATGCACTGGGGTTCTTCTCGGGAAACAAAGAGATAATGGAACACTCTGTCTTCACACACATACACAGAATATTGTGACAAAGTGACTGTCTACAAAACAGGAAGAGAGGATGAAAGCAACTTTCCCCATACTTTGGGTTCCCTGGAGGGCTAGTCCCATAATTGCAAGACAATTTCAATGCTTCAATTCATCTAGCCTGTAGTTTTCTCTTATAGAAGCCATAGCAGATTACAGTAAAACCCACAGATGTTTCAAAATAGTCAAACTACTTGAGAATAAGCTTAAAAACATTTTATATTAAAATTCAGATAGCTGCTGGGGCTGGAGCGATGGCACAGCGGGTAGGGCATTTGCCTTGCACGCAGCCAACATGGCCCATCCGGATTCGATTCCCAGCATCCCATATGGTCCCCCGAGCACCGCCAGGAGTAATTCCTGAGCGCAGGAGCCAGGAGTAACTTCTGAGCATCGCCAGGTGTGACCCAAAAAGCAAAAATAAATAAATAAATAAAATGCAGATAACTAGGGCTGGAGAGATAGCACAGTGGGTAGGGCATTTGCCTTGGATGTGGCCGACCTGGGTTCGATTCCCAGCATTCCGTATGGTCCCCTGAGCACTGCCAGGAGTAACCCCTGAGTGCAGAGCTAGGAGTAACCCCTGTGCATCACCAGGTGTGACCCAAAAAAGCAAATAAATAATAAATAAATAAAATTCAGATAACTAACTTTTCTTGATAAACCGAAGACCTATTGGATAGAAGCATCACTACTACACTAGTTGCTTTCACTTGGGGGGTGGTGGCTGGGTGGGCACACCTGGCCCTGCTCAGAACTTACTTCTGGCTCTTTGTTTAAGGATCATTTATGGCAGTGCTCAGGGGACCACATGTGATGACAGGAATTGAACGGGGGTCTGTCAAGTTCCAGACAAGCATTGTAAGTCCTGTACTGTCTCTGGCCCCTTCTAGTTGCATTCTATAACATGTCAGATGAGCCGAGCCATTCTAAAGTAACACAGTTGACTACCTGCATTATCTAACATTTAAGTAAATAACTAAACAATTAGATTTAGAAAATGCAGAGGACTAAACTTTCATATCTTTCTTATGGACATAGGTGTAAGTGATCACTGTGCTTATACCTTTTGGGGAGGAGGACTGAGTATTCACTTTAATTTTAATTGCATGAGACTATTTGGTTCTCCTTTTACAAAAAAATATAAATATACATCTCTTATGTGCACTATGCCAAGTTTTCAGAAAGGTGGTTAGTAGTTATCTCCCCTAATTACTACTTAGAATGATCCCCCTGGCACCTGGTTGTAAAAAGAAATTCATGCAAAGTGGTAGGACATATATCTGGAATAGTGTTACCTTATACAATTCTTATCAGACACTACCATAAACTATTTTTTTTCTAGCTATGAAAGCAAGTGGGAAAGTAAATTCTGGCATATTTTCTCCAGTAAAATTTGAGGAGCACATTCATTATCCTCAAATCAAGCAAAATGCATATCTAAATAGTAAACAGATATTCTGTTATCTCAAGAAATAATTCTAAATTAATCTTTAAAAAAGTAAGCACAAAGGTCAAAGAGAATTTTTTGAAAAGCCAATACAATTTCTGGGGCTGGCGAAATAGTACAGTGGGTAATGTACTTCCCTTGCACATGACCAAGCCCAGTACCCCAAATGGTCTCCCAATCACAGCACAGAGGTAGGGGTAAGGCCTGAGCAGTGTCCAGAGTGGCCCCCAAACAAAAAAATCCCCCCAAAACCCAAATACATGTTCTAATAAGAAAACAAAACAACATAATGAGAGGGCACCAAAGAACCTTCAAAGTCCCATTTTCCCTCACAACTAACTATTCAGTAAGCTTACAGAATAATTTAGAAATAATACATTAATTCTGTGGCTAGCATTTAAATGATAGGAAATAAGGGCTTGTGAAGACAGGAGTGAGTGACATCCTTGGGATTTGTTCTGAGATTCAAATGTATTATTTGTGATCCTTCATGAATACAGTATTTAAAACGAATATCCTCTATTTTTTATTTTTAATAAAAGTTGCTTGATAAAATAGACCCAGTGGCCTTCCTTCCCTCTCCCCCAAAAAAGTCTTCCTTGAAAAGAACGGCCTTTGACTCTCTTGCAAAGTAGGTTTTTTATAAGCCAAGACATTAGTTTCATCTAAAACTTAGTAATTAAAATAGGAAGCTTGTTTTCTATTCTAGCCAATGAATATACCTCTGAACAAAGCAGGGCACAATTATAAAGCTGAAATGGGTTGGCTTGAGTGAGCAACTTAGAATTCTCTAAATATCCTTCACAACAAAGCTTCTTTCAGCCTTTTATGAAACCTCATGGAGGGAGAGACTGGAAGAGGAGAAATCCACCACTAAGAATATTAAAAATGTTCAGAAGCAAGGTCGAATATTTTACAAGAAGTGAATATTATTATTCCACACTATATTAATAGTGAAATCTCCTTGGGCATGAAATTTATATATGGAACCAAACATTATGCTGGTAAATTGAGCTTATCAAAATGTAAATAGTTAAAAGCCAGAATCTATCATTTCTGTAAATTTTTATTTGTAGAGTTCTTGTCTTAAAAGTTTTCAATTATGCATTTGCGGGATAAATGAATGAACTAAGTGCATATAGACTGAGGATGAAATAGTCAAAACATCTTATCATCTGGAAGTAGTAAGGTTGGCTATGGTATTATTTAACATCGATTTTCCCAGTTTCCACAAACAAGAAAAAGTTACATTCAGAAGAATTAATGCAACTTTTCTGGAAGAAACTATGACAACATCTAATAAAATTCATCTTAACATTTTACTCAGCATTATTTTATTTTTTTGGAGTCTACACAGAGAATCACTTCCAATAACATGAAACTGCTCGTTATAATTAATTGCAAAACTGTTTCTGTTTAAAAAATTAAAAATAAGCAATAGTGCTTGAATAAACTATGCCACACCCAGACAGCAGAAAATCATATAAATACAAAAAATGAGTTAGAAAGATCTCTATTAACTCTGGATTTGAACCCTGTTTCCTCAGGACTATATCCCAAGCGCTATATCCTTGGAACAAATTCCAAGGAATCAAGGTTGCATTGCTCTCTGCACATGGTGAATGGTCACCAAAAAAAAGTGTTTTGTACTTTGTTTTTCAGTGACCAAGTTTCCAATATTTGTGTTAGGTTAAGGATAGACCAAAACTTTTATACTGACTGTGTTTGCCACTTTCCTGTAACTAGAAAGTAATTTCCCAATTTTGCTGCATGTAAAAACATACCATACTGCCAACAGCTGTCTGCTCAGGCTTCCTTCCTTCCTGTTCCCTCTTACCTTCCTTCCTTCAAGGAACCTGAGCGCTGTGCCGATGTTTGCCACAGCATGGATCCGCTTCATCCGACGCCCTTGTTCGCAAGGCTGTAAAAGGGAAAACAGGAATCAATCTAAATGCACACGTGGAAAAGATAAGCCCGTTCAAATGGATGAAAATGTCCTGGAAGCCTATTCGATAACCACCATAAGACTCAGTTTCTAAAAAAGGATAGCAGATCTGTAAGCAGTTTTCCGTATCCAATTTATTCAGTGAAAACATTCATTCTCAGCTTATCTGTCCAGTCCTTTGCCTTTCAATTTCCTGGATGTTGGTACACAGCAAGTCACAAGCTGTCTAGTTTAGTCAGACGGTCCCCTCTATAGGCTAGGAAATATTGAGGAAATTTCCAGAAGACAGTACTCGTGGTGCATTGCGGGGGCAGTATGTTTGCGGGAAATTTCTGGATGTCTTTTCCTGTTGGACTCTTAAAATTTCTCTTGAAAAGGATTTCTCTATAAAAAATACTCCACATTACTCAACACTTGTTCTCAATTTGACCAACATGAAAGTTATGGACAAAATTAACATTAGATTTGAAGTCCAGACCAAAATTTAGGGAGCGTAAGAGCCAAGTTTAGGGGGCTGGATAAACAGCACAGTGGATAGGGTGTTTGTCTTGAATGCAGCCAACCTGATCCCTGGCATCCCATATAATCCCCCCAGCACTGCCAAGAGGAACTGCGTGCAGAGCCAAGCCCTTAGCATTGCTGGGTGTGACCTCCCCCTGCCCCCCACCACCAAAGAGCCAAGTTTATTTTTTCCCACTTTTTTTTCATTAAAGCACTGTGATTTACAAAGTTATTCACAGTTGAGTTTTAGACATACAATACTGCAGTGCTGATCTCTCCACCACTGTCATTTTCCCTCTGCCAATATTCCCAGCTGCCCCTCCCCCAGCCTGCCCTCTTAACAGACACCTTTCTAAGCTAGGTTGCTAAAGTTTGGGTCTCTTGATTTCAGTGTTATTGACTCTGTGGCTGGATATTTGTCTCTAAGAGTTAAGTTTTAAGAGCAGGAAGGAAAATGTTATTCATTGAGCAGTACGTGATAGTACCTGGAATGCTCAAGGAATTTGAAAATTTAGAACTCCAAATAATCTCAGTCAATAGATATTAGCAACATCCTTGGTATTTTGTGGAACTGAGAGGCTAAGTAGTGGATCTAAGAGTGAAAATTTGGGCCAGCCTGTGACTTTTGAATTTCTAAAGTAATGCCATTTTCCCAGGGTTGTATAACTGTAACCTCATTTCTGTAACACCAGAACTCTAAAAAACCTAGTCAACGTTCAAACCCAAAAAATCTTTACACTTCCAGGAGCCAGAGAAATAGTACAGTGGGTTGTGCACTTGCCTTGTGCATAGCTGATCTGGGTTTGATACCTTTCACCCCATATGATCCCCAAACTCTGCCAGGAATGATTTGTGAACACTAAACTACTCAGGACTACACCCTCAGTATAGCTAGATGTGCTCCCAAAATAAAACAAAACAAATCCTTAAATTTCCAGTAAATATTATAACCAGTAATAAATTTTCTGGCATGATTTAAATAGCATATTTGAATAGAAAAATACACTTTGTTTTTGACTCATCATCTATTATTTCTTGCATTTATTTAAAAATCACCTATTTTCTAGCCCTCTGGCTATTGATCAAGCTGCTTAATGGCCATGATCCCAGAGACTCACAAACGAATCTCAGAACCCAGCAGCTTTTGGAAGAAATCCCTCCAGATTTAATTATTAAAAGTTCAGAATTCCAAAATCACGTGGCCACTATTGCAACTGCACGGCATCATATGCTATTCATAATCAGAAATAGAAAACAAATGATCTAATTTTGCCTTTTTGGTAGTTCTGAGTGTTGGGGTAAAATCCCAAATAATCATGGTGGGTCTGGTGTTGAAATATTGAATGTAGAGAGGGAGTAATGTGGAAATCATCTGCCACACAGGTAGGGGGAGGGTGTGGGATAGGGGACACACTGGGGTTCTTGGTAGTGGAAAATGTGCATTGGTGAAGGAATGGGTGTTCCATCATTGTATGACCAAGACTTAAACCTGAACGCTTTGTAACTGTTCTTGCGGTGATTCAATAAATAAATTTATATTAAAAAATTTCCTATTTTCACTTGGGAACCTCTACTATACATGATACATTCTCATCAATGGTCCATAGTTGGCCCATAAATAACATAGTTATTTACTTTTGAGGGGGCACACCTGGCAGTGCGTGGGGCTTCCTCCTGACTCTGAGGTGAGAGCCCTCTCCTGGAAGACTCAGAGAATTGTATGCAGTGCCTGGAATCAAAACTGGATTGGTTGTGTACAAAGCAAACACCTTACCCACTGTACTTTCTTAACTTCTCTTTAGCTATTAATTCATTAGTATTATAATTAAAAAGCACCATTAAAAGCTGCCCACTGAAACAAAATGGGATCAGGCAATTCAATACCAAATTCATTCCTCTCAGTACCATCAACTTTCATTGTATTCTTCTGGCTTTGGAGATGCATCAAATTCTATTCCAAGACAATGCTTTCCTTTTTATATAGATACTCATTTCATTTGTATTCATTCTTAGTGTAGAATTTTATATACAGGGTAACCCTTTACTCAGTTTGAGACTGGCATTTCTACAAAATATTGATATTATAAAATCCATTCTTCTTATCTCTTGTCATCAATTCTCATTCATTTTTGGCAGCTATACAATATGCCACTTATCCATGTTCCTAATGTTGTGAACGTGGATTTTATTCAGGTTATTTCTGTTGTGGATCTTGCTGACAGAACATTTTTGGATGTCACACTATTGTTATGAGTATGAAGAGTATCTTTTGGATGCTAAGCTAAGAGTGAAAATTGGGTCAGAATGTGACTTGAATTTCTAAAGTAATGTCAAATTTTCACAAGTGTTTGCACTACCTTTGACCCTTTTAAAATTAATTTATTATGGTTAATATTTCACTTTAGGTACAGTGATTTACATATTGTTAATGATAGGGGTTTATGCATACAATGTTCCAACACCATAGCATTCACCAAAGTGGTCCCCCACCACCATAAATTCATTCCTATAGGTCAGTTCTCAGTGCTGTTGTCTTAGAACATTTGCTATTCCCATAATCTATCAGATGAGAGAGATCAATCTGTGTCCGTCTCTTTCCCTCTGACTAACTTCACTCAGTATGATACTCTGCAGATCCATTCACTTAGCAGCAAATCATATTTCATATTTTCTGGTACCCTATTGTGTATATACCACATTTGTGTATTCCATTGTGTATCCACTGTGTCTATACTATAGTCTACATACCATACTTTTTGTATGTTCTATCTATTGTGTGTTCCATTGTCTATACCATAATTTCTTTATTCAGTCACCTGTCCTTAGGCACTTGGATTGTTTCCAGATTTTGACTGCAATGAACATAAATGAACATAAATGAACATAAGACTCAGAGACTGTAAAATCCAGATTCCGGAACCGCGCGGCCGCAAATGCGGCCGCGCGACATCTTATCAGAACTTTTTTTACGACATCTTATTGTCTCATTCTTACTTTGGACAAACTTGCAGGCTATCGAATGTAGCCTGCCCACAAGGCAGAGTCTGGCAAACTCCCCGTGGCGTACCAAATAAGCCAAATACCAGTAACAATGATGGGTCTCATTCTCCTAAATAGCCTTGAATATAATCTCAGGGTTAGGATGAAAGAGACGTTACTGGGGCCTGCTCGAGGCAATCGACGAATAACAGGATGATGAAATGAAATGAAATGAAATGAACATAAAAACACAGATACCTTTTCTGATTAGAGATTTTTGGCCTATTATGTGTTTTCAAAAGTCCGGCGATGCTCTATCTCTTTCACCATCTGTGTTCAGTGATCTCGGGCCGCTTCTCCCATCCCCAGGAGGTTGATGGTGATGGGCAGGCAAAAGAAGGAACGAAGGGAGGGCCAGGCTGGTCAGTTGATATCAATTGTAATTTATTCCAATCTTCACTCCCCTTCTGCTTCTCTCTCTCAAGCCTGAGCCCCTCTCACTTCTGACTCTGCCCTCTGGAGCCCGAGCTCCCTCCAAGCTTACAGTCTTAGTTTATATAGCAATCACGTAAGGCAGTGACACAAAGGTGGATTGAACATTAACAAATCAACAAAGAGGGGTAAGACCACTCCTCCAGATTAACTCAAGGATAAAATCTCATCTAAAGAGATTACTCCAGATTACTAGGAGATCTGCCCAAGGGTGGGATCCCAACAAGGGTGTGTTCTTTCCTCAACTAGTAATCTATTTAAATAGTTGTAGTAAATCTACTTCCAATATTTCTAGCAATGGCATTCTGTATGGGCACAGTAAGAGATATAAACTTACAGTTTGGTTTTTTCTGAGGACATCTCACTATATATTCCGCAGTCCTCAGGCCAGGTTAGTCTTCCTAGCCCCAGCAGGGTCCTAGTCTCATCATTACTTACTTTTGGATCATGACAGCATTTGTCCATGATCGTGCACTCAACTTATAGTTGAGTATTGTGGCACTTTGGCCTGGCCCATTTCGATGCCAGGGTAGTGCACAGCTTTCCCTGGGTCCATTCAGTCCCTCATCGGGACCCTGCTTTTGAGGTGCTAGGAACTAAGGGCAACTGAGTGAAGAAAGCAGATGCCCAGGAGTAAATATTATTCGGAGTCAATCAACTGCCAAGTTACAAAGCATAATATTAACTGTCTTCCTGTGTACATACAAAGGGACATTGCTTTAAGTTAGACCCTGCAAAAGACATAATTTACAATACAAGTGCAGTGTCCTTAGAAGGATCTGCTCTTACAAGCTAACAGAATCTCATTTGGGAGGAAAGGTGATTAACTGGCTGGGGAGGAGAGCACAGAGAAGAGTTTACAGATAAATAGAGGAATGGGAGTGACTCGGGAGCACTGTGATGGGTGTAACCCAATCAACCTAAGCTCCCTGTGGCAAGGGAGAAAGGACAAACCAATCTTATCTTACAGCCTATGTGGTAAACACCTGAAAGTAGATTACTGT